GGAATGGCTTTATAACTGCACTTGAATGTCACAGCAACACACACAGTGTGGTAGTACAAACAATGCAGGTGAAAGCAGAAGAATTTCCTTCCATCCAAGGCAGTGATTTTCCCTCTGTGGTAACAGTTAATACTTTTTTTGTCCCCCTCTGCCATTTTATCTAATGGTTTTGTACTGCTCAGCCTTAGTTGTAGAACTGTGATAGTTTTATTTTGGAGATTCATGTGGGAAGAACAACCTCAGCAAAGTTAAAATAGATACATTGATTTGTTAGAGTGGGAAGTAGTGGCTGCCTCTGAATGTTTTCCTACTAGTGGCTTGTGCTGTCTTCTTGCCTGCCCTTTCTGCAGGATGACAAGCCCCATAGAAGAGGAAAATAGTTTGTTTCCCATCAAGAGCATATTCAAAATTCATGCTCAAAAACTCATGCTGACAAAATTGTCTGTTACTCTGTCTGTTTGGTGACAGCCTTAAATATAGGGTTGTTTCCTTTGGTAGCTCATGCATGCATTAAAACTATCAGCTTTTATGTTTCTCTTAAAGTTTATAGAAGACGGAATAGCTGTAGGAAGGTCTGTGTACACAGGCTTGTCTGCAGCCTTGGTAACTCCTTGCTCTCTTGCTCAGGATCTACCATGGCAATCACAGAACACCCTTAGAGTAAATGACCGAATTTCTTTCCTCTAAAGGTGCTCACTTCCCTTCTCAGTATATTTAAACCTTATTTCTAGTTAGGAGACACTACCATATCAGTTATGCTATTAATATCTGAGCTGTTCAAACCATCACTATTGTTAGTATTTCCCATTAGAGGAATAGAGGTAGCCAATTCCAACAATGCAGCTAGAGCCAAATGCAATCAATTACAGACATAGAAATGCAACTTTTATTTCCTGGGTCCTTATCCTTGCTCCTTGGAGACTCTGTTTTGGCCTAAGAAGTCAGTAAAACAAGACAGCTTGGTCTGAATGCATTGTGGCCTGTGAACAGCCCAAACAGACAGCTCCCAGGTGAGAGGGACAGGGCTGCTGCTGCCCATTGCTGCAAGTAGCACCTTCCTTCTCCTTTGAGCCCTGCTATGTGTGGGAGAGGCTGTTTAGCACAGGCATCTTAGAAAGTGGTGCTGCAGGCTGATTTACTGGAGAGTGAAGCCTCTTCATGCTGTTCACCCTCATTAATTTTTATTTTAAACATATCTTATGATAATAAACATATCATGTTTATTTTGCCTGACAGTCCTCAAACTCCAGCTTAATTGAACTGGCCAAACTTAATACTTTCTGTGCATTGTATTTTCTTTCTGCTCTTCTTATACATGGAGATAAACTTGGATCCTATACTCATGTATGCAGTTCTTCCTCCCTCACACAGCTGTTGAGCATCCTTTCAGAAGGTCATTAGATGCCAACTTAATGTTAAAAATAAGTTATTTAGCAATTGTCCATAATGAGGTCATGGTCTCAAAACCTCTATAAAGGCAGATAAACGTCATTTACTTGTCTACAAGTATGGCAAATTGAAGCTCACAGGTGACAATGTTTAAGGTGTTTCTGGTCCAGCCTGCTCTGATGGGGCTTTCTCTAGGACAGCTGTTGAAGGGGATGATATCATGATATTTGAAGCACTTTATTACAAAAATATTCTATTCTATTCTATTCTATTCTATTCTATTCTATTCTATTCTATTCTATTCTATTCTATTCCATTCCATTCCATTCCTGGGATAGCTCATCAAGTTACAACCAGTCTTCAAACAGGATTATAGGCAGTGTGTGGAAAATCTTGTCTTGGCTTGTCCTTGCTGTCAAACTGAGTCCAAAGCCTCAGGAAGGAAAGGAAAACCCTCCCCTAAGCATTAGAGAGCTAAGTGGGAAAACACATAAACCCCTCCTCCCAAACACACACTCTACCCCTCAATGTTCAAAGCTCCTGTATGTCTTTATTCTAATGTATATCAAGGCTTTTAACTAGTAACAATGCAGAAGGTTATCACATAAATTAATTAGTCTTCTGGGAGACCTGCATAGGTGCTTTTGATGCCATAGAAGCAAATTTACAATGGCTTATTGCTAATTTAAGAGAAGTGATGATGTTTTCTGCTAACTTGGTTGCAACTAATAATGTACCGTATTAATTTACTTCTCAGCTTAGGATGTTAGTAAACTTAGTAGTTAGGATATCTGAATAGAAGAATATTAGTAGGCCAGAGCATATTAATAGCATTTAATTAACAATAACATTAATATTTCTATATCTGTCATATGGGGATATGAAAGGATAAAGCTAACTCCCAGAATAAAGTCTACTTTGCAGCACTGACTGCCAGATATTAACAGCTAGATTAGTTTGATTGATTAAGGTAATGAAAGAATATGTTATCATCCTGGGGATGGGTTGCCAAAAATAAGATCCTGGGGAATCAGTATTTTTGGCCATTGTTCCCACACCAACCAGGTCCTGTGTCTGGAGCTACATGGTATAGATTTTCTTTCCTGGAGCACTTAGGGTTTTTTCTCCCTAATATAGTTGGTAATTTTTATTTTTTAATATACAAGCACACAATGTTTTCTATAACTTCAATGAGAAGTTATAGACCTCATTGTTCTATATTAGAATCAGAAATAGAGAAATATACCCTGGGAATTTAATTGTCATGTAGCTCTTAAAAATGGTGTTTTCAGGAAGACATGTGAGTGGAAAATGCAATGAAAATTCTGCAGCCAGAGAGGGGAGGCCAAGGTCACCAAATTCGGGATGGATCCTGCAGGCTGTGTCCCCTCTGAGGGTGGTGTGGGGCAGAGGGTCAGGTTGGGACCTCTCAGACCCCTTACCTACCTGCAAGGCAGTTCTTCCAGCTCCTCCCATACAGCCGTTTCGCCCGCTATGACTTTGTAATTTTGATTAGAGGAAGGTGGCTGCCGTTCACATTCACCAAGGTGAAATTTCTGGTGGCAGGCATTTGTCTTGCCATCAGCCCAGATTTCTTTATTCAGTTTGTTTGTTTTTAGTAAGAAAACCTGCTAGTCTCTTCATGCTACACAAATGTCTTATCTAGGGGGAAGTTATGTACTATTCTTTGCACTGAGCTACTGCCCTACGATAGCTGAAATGTGAGCTCCCCTACCGGAGATGCACCATCTGGAGTTGTCATCTGCTCCTGTGCAGAGTTAATTCACCTGGGTAACAGAAGAATAGCCCTGAACAGGGCTACACTTTGTAGTGTACTTTTATACTGCACTTTGTAGTAAACACAAACCAGTGAGGCAGTAGGACAGTGGAGGAGCCAAGATGTCCTGGCAGCTGTAAAAGGAGGTACAAGTGGGAACAAGACCTTTTCAGTGGCAGGTACTGCAGATCCACACAGTCCCAGTGATATAACATGACCTTCACATCACTTTCTCTGCAGTGCTTGGCTGAAGTGGGGAGATGTTACTCTCTTCTTCTGACAGGGAAGATTGAGTTTCCCATGAGCTGGAGGAACCATCCTTTCAGTTTACACAGTGGTAGAAATTTTTGAAGCCACATGAATCTGTGTGTGGCTGGCCCTAGGGCTACTTAGTAAACACCTAGCTGTCAGCATGTGTCACTGGGTTCAAAGCCAGACAAAAATCACCCTATCTATGTATGTAGGCACTCAGAGAGCTGTCAGAACAGATTAATCTTCATTTGATGCCTGCCTAGATATTATGTTTTCAGGCTTTCTTGGAAGACTGTTATGAATTAAAAAGAAAAAAACCAAACAAACAAAGAACCCATAGAGTTCAATGATTATGTTTCTCTTCCCTCTTGCTTGTGGGGAAGAAGTGAATGGGCTTTGTGAGTGAAAGCCCAGAGACAGTCAATAGCAAGGAAACCCTGCAGAGAAAATGGTGTGCACCCCTCAAGTGGGTGTGGGGCTCAGCCCCAAGGCAGTTGTGCTGACTGTCAAGTCAAGTACTCAGAGAATGCTCTGGTAATCTTTGGTGGCCAAGTGACTGTGTCAGCCACTTTTTCTGTTGACACTCCAGCAAACTGTCTCCAAATGAACCACTAGCCCCATTTATAGTATATTTTATGCCCTTCATAGATAAGCATAACAGATTATTTGATTTTTAACTGTGGGTGTTTCTCAGGTCAGAAGCATTCTGGTACTTTTGTTCTATTTCTTGCTTTGCATATTAAAACACAACTTGTTTTTTGCTTTGCTTGGTATAGTACCAACTATACCAAGCCTGTTCTCACCTCTGACAGACTGGTCATTCATAGTGAAGAATTCCTTAAGTTTGGAGACTCACCTGCTGCTGGGTGTACTGAATCTGGCTGGGTGCTGTGCTTTGGACGGGGGACTAAAGAAGTTGATAACTCACCAGTAGTGGCTACTGCCAAACTGCCTGCACAGTGCCAAGGTCTTTTCTCTTTCTCATTCTGTCCCCACAGCTGGGAGTAGGCGAGAAGCTGGGAGAGCTCACCTGGCCAAAGGAAATCCCATACATATTGTGTCATGGTCAGCAGCAATAGCTCAGGGAAGAGGAAGAAGGGAATAACTGTGGTGACAAGCAACCATCATGCATGCTGAGGCCTTGCTTTCCAGGAAGTGGCTAAATGTCTACCTGCCGATGGGAAATAGTGAATTAATCCTTATTTTGCTTTGTTTTCATACATAGCTTTTGCTTTCCCTATAAAAATGATTTTAGATCAATCCGCAAGTTTGTGGGCTGCAGATGACCCAGTACACTAGGTCAAGAAAAATCTGAGCTAAACTGGCTGGGACTACATGAATCAGACTCATTGGATAATAAATCTTTTCTTCTTTTTAGGGAAAAACTTTGGGTGTACCTTCAGGCAAACACTAAATTGAACATGTAACACAGACTGCAAACACTATAGCAGGGAGTCACTCGGAGAGGGTTATGGGTTAGAGATAAGAGAGATTGACCATTGAAAGTATTTAACTCATCTGCACTGTACCATGTGGTCCTTGGTTTTGGCTTCTACCTCCATTAAATAACGAGTCCTTGAGGTGTCTTTATTTGTCTTTATTCTTCAGTCAAACAATATCATCACTGAATTGAAGAACGAGGTTACTGGTTGAAATACAAGTGCAGTGTGAGACAAATATGGAAGATAACACTTTGCAAATAAATTAATACAGAATAATTGTCTTTGCATAGTTCAGAAGTGAAAAGTAGGAGGCAGCAGTGCGCACGTGCTGTGAACTGACACACACCACCACAAAAACCCAAGTTCCTAGGCGAACTCTTGCAGCTGCAAAGAAAACAAACCAAACCAAAAATGCCCCAAACCTTAGAGAGCACTAACTATTAAAAACCAGGCAGAAAGGGAACTAATAAGCATTTTTTTTCTTTTTCTTTTTTTTTTTTTTTTTTTCCCTTAACAGACCATGCTGCAGAAAGAGTGTTTTCTCCACAGACAGAGATGCTTTTAGATAATCTGCCTTGGCATCCCATAGCCTGTCATACCCGACTGTGACGCTCCTTTGTTGCTGCCCATCTGAAGGCCTATTACGTTCTGTCCCTGCCGAAGCTGCTCTTCTGAAAATCCTCGTCGATTCTGCTGTGCTTTCCTGTCCAGATACACACACAAAAAAGCAACATACTTACATACCATCATTCTGTGTATGATCATGAAATCACAAAGGAATTGTCATCATGAGAATCTGAAACTGGCTCACATCCCTTGTAATGCAATAAGTCATGTGCACCACCCCATGTGCTGGACAATACTGTCTGGGCTAATTGCTTTCCTGCAAACAGAAGTAATGCTTTAGTCAAATTGACAACACTTTAGACTTTCACTGTCACTGTTATTCCAGAACTCCAAGGGACTTCTCCAGAAGCTGTGACAGGTAAACTACTTATGCAGTGTTGTGTATTAAACACAAAATAGGGTTAATTTGTGTTGAGCCTTATAGCTCTTAAGAGCTGTAGTCCATGGGATCTGATCCATGAGACACTTACCTGTGCTGTACTACAAGTTTATACCCATCTAGAGCAACAGTAAAAACTAAAAACTGGTATAATTTAACTCAGTGGAGTAAATAAAAGCTGAGTGTACCCAGAGCAGCAATGGGTCAGAAAAGGGACTTGCTTGTTTTTGCAGAGGGGACATTGGTTGTCTGCAGGACAGAATGTTTGCTTTGTTGCCATTTCCAGATCTCTCACCTCCTAAGCAATAGACTTTGCACCTGTGTCTTAACTGTATGACAGTCCTTTATCTTCTGTCAAAACACACCGACTACTTTTGTTCAGTGTCCCTGGTCTCAAAAGCTCTTTGGATCAATGAACCTTTGTTGGAGTATAAAAGGAGCCTTTTTTCTCCCTGAAAATAGTATTGAAGGCCAAAGTGGCAGCTAAGAAGGACAAAAGTTTGCACTCTGCTGCCTCACAAGAAACTTCATCTTGGATTCATCTTTCATTTCTACTAAGTGGGGAAAACAAGCGATTTACAGTGGAGAAGGATCAGTCCGTTGCTATCAAATGCTACCATATGAATACCATATTAAATCATATGAATCTGCAGAGTCCCAGACTGGGTGAGGCTTTCCATCGACCAGCCCCTACTCCCACGTGGGTAGAATCTATTTGCCTGCTGTGTCTGTTTGTCCTGCCATCAGGTTACAGGTTACTCTGCAATATGGCATCGAGTTACAGTCCCCCTTTCCTTCCCCACCCCTCCACTAGATAAGAATAATAGATTAGGTACCTGCTGTGATTGAAAACCATCAACATGATCCTCTCTATGAGGCTCAGATCTTGCTGGGAACCCTGGCTCAAGTCCAAAAAAAACACTTAAACTCTCTGCTGGGCTCAGGGTGTTCAGGGCATTGCAGGAGACGAACCCATGTCCACATGAAAGCCCAGCAAAGCAGAGGGGGGAGAAGGATCCTCAGGACACCAGGACTGACAAGTCATTTTTCAGAGTGAGTGCTCAAGTGGTGAAGTACAGACTAGTAAGAGGGCTTATAGAGGCCCACCACAGGCTCTCAGATCCCACAGCTCTTGCCAGAAAGCTCAGAGTTTTGGGGGAGGCACACAGAACTGTGGTGCCTCAGAAAGCGGGCCCCTCTCACTGCTGCTTAATTTCTTTTCCAGAATACTTACACAGGCAGCAAGCTACTGCCAGGATGTCCAGAAGAGGATGTTTTTAGATCAACTCCTATTACCTAATTGAATCTCAGGTTCACTGTGTCTGCCTCTATTTTAATTAAAAAAACAGGAAAGCATTCTACTGTTCTTTTCTCTTTTGTCCTAGAATTTTTTGCTATGTTGATGAATACTTCCACAGAAAGTCAAAGAGTAATTAAACAGGGAAAAAAATGAGAACTGCAAAGAAGAAATAAAAGAAGAGACTAAAGTATAGGCTGGATATCCTAATAAAAGTTGATTACATATATAGCTTGGATCATATAGTGTTATTTTTACATTCATAAGCCCCACATTTAGTATATGAAGGTCTCAGAGATAACTTGTACAATATTTGTTTTTAGGTGGGTGGAAATGGCCTTAAATGAGACTAAGAAAAGAGGTGAAGGCAAGTCTACTCACCATGTCTCACACTATGTCCAGTTCTGTTTGGCCAGTCTGGCATCACTCGTACCTAAAGGCCACCAGAGCTGTCAAATTTTTGTGCCAGCTTTACACCAGTGCTTGTGTTTGTCAAGCCACAGGATAACAAACAGCTATGGATCCACGAACCTTGCTAAGGCATGCAAGGAAGGGGGCATCAGTCTGATGGCTCTGGGCATGTGAGACACTGGCAATGGAAAGTTAAATGGCTTAGCTCAAGTGTGGCATTAACCTAATCACTGCAGATCCCTGCAAGGATACTCTTACGCCGTTTGATATTGGTGCCTCAATTTAACTTAAGGTGATTAAGAATCAGCCTGAAAGCCCTGAATTATGAGTAACACTGGGTGGCAGTGAGGGAGTTTGGTCTGCCCGAAGGGATAGGGAAGCTTCTCAGAAAACAGGTCCTAATTGGCAACATGCCCCAACACCAGCTTTCCTTAAAGCAGCAGCTATAACATGGTATTTCACAGGGACTGCAATAGATATGGGTTGGCTATCCAAGCAGCTAGAAGAGAAGGGAGGTGATCACATCTTCATCCATGCCAACAAAAACTCTTCCCACCCACAATTAAGAGTCCAGATGAAAATTAATTTTTCCATGTGGGACTTTGTTTTAGTTACATAAAACAAATAAGTCTGTCTGGGTCATAGTGATTTCATGTCTGGTTTATATTAAAAAATGTAACTGGATTTGAAATCAATTTTAAACCTAATTATACTCCATAAATATAAATCTATTTGTGCAGTGTATTAAGTTAATGCAACCTGATTTCATAAAAACAATGCATAAGAGTTTGCACTTATTCGCCTAAAATCCAAATCTCAGTTTCAGTTTAACCAGCTCAGGGTTTAAGACAAACAAAGTGAAGTTTGCTTTATTTTTGCTGAGCCTCACCTAGACATCAGAAAATTCAGGCAAAGAAAAGACAAGCAGTCAGCACTCTTACTTTCTAACCTGCCTTCGACATTTCTGTGTAAGGGATACTCTTGGATGGCAGAAACTCGTGTCAATAATATGCCTGTGGGGCAGGAGAGTAACTGCAGGAGGATTTCCTTTTCTTCCTGTTCCTGCTTTACAGCCTCCCTAGCCAAAACAAACGGAATTTCAGAACAAATAAGCAGCTTTGCCAAGACAGAGAATTCTTCACAGATAAGAGGTGCTCCCAGAGAAAAAAAAAGCCTAGGAAATTAAATCATTTGTGGTTTGATGAAAAAAGTAGAGAGACTTCATGCCTTCTCTTTGCTCAGTGAAGGGGTCACTACTTGGGGGTTCACAGACATCCTTAACAGCCTTGTCTTCATTAGTCTTTCCGTATGCTATCTGATGTGAGAGAGCAAACCTGATGACAAAAGTACATTTTCCTGCTTCCCTTCTCCAGCCTCCAGAGAGAAAAACCTCCCTATTACAAGGAAACTTGGAAATATTCTTCCTTTCCTTTCCCAATAAATTTCCCTAAAGCCTAAAGGCAGATGATATTACCAGCTCCCCAGGGAAGACAGCTCTGAGCAGCTGAGCTCTGGACTTTACCTGTGGAACCAGGATGGATCTCCTTTGTAGCAGCCGTCATCCTTGGTGACTGCCAAACTGCCCAAAGCCATTAAGGTTCTCTGCACTGCTGCCATGTCCTTCCCTAGAAAGCCAGACAGTGAAATTAATATAGGAAATCCTTGCACAACAGATAGCTTGGCACACTGAAAAACAGTTTTATCCGATGTATTAACAAATTCCCTCAGGTCCCTGAAGGTGTGCATTTATAGAATTATAAATGCTATTTTACTATTGCTGAAATGAAAGTACTGACATGCAAAAGCTTATTAAACATCAACAAAGGCATAGAGTTAAAGGAAAACTTAATTTTTCAGACATTTCTAGGTTTCCAGGCCTTTGATTATTTTAATGCCTTCTTCCATACCATTTTAAGTCTATAGTATTCCTTTGACAAAATTTTCTCCTAAGGAGAGATTACTTTGGTATACAAATAATGTAATATCATCAGTAAATATACTCAGTAAAATGTGGCTGAGGGAGAATAGTGTTATAGTTAAATAACAGTGCTGTGTCTCAGTTTATTCAGAGCAAGTTTGATCCCTGTGCCAACAGAGCTCACAGCAGTTCTGGGAGCTCCTGTGCAGATAAATTCTATCAGTCCTTCCCAAATTAACCATCAAAGTGCCTCCCTAAACCTTCCTGCTTACTATGATGCTGCTCAGTTTCATACCTTTAATTCCTCTCATTTGGTCCACTATTTTTCCACATTCTCCCTATTCTATCTCACTTCATTCATCAGTTCAAAAAGTCAGGGTTTGTCTCATCTTTAGCCAAATAAAAGTTACGTAACCCGTTACCCAATCCAGACATGCTACCTTTTGGAATTCTTTCTAGCAAAAATAAGTTGCAGCAGATATTTCCAGTTGTGTGAGGTGGTAAGTTGTTGGAAATCTGCCTTTTGCTTCTCCCTTATGAAATCCTTCCATAAGCATTTCTATGACTCGACTTCCCTCTTTCATTCCCGTTCTTCCTCTTTCCTAAAGTAATGTATCTAGTTAACAGATGTGATTCTGGTTCTTCACATGTGAAAACAAGCAATTCAGAAAAAAGGAGACACCAGAGACACCATGATAACAGAATTCAGAGATACCTCCAGTGGACCAGTATTAATGAACATCACTAGTGGATGAGCTAGAGTGTAGAGGGAAGGGAGCAGTGCACACTCTGTGTTTATGTAGTGCATCACCCTGATCACAGGCAGATGCAGTCCAGGGCTCTGTAGCACAGTGGCTGAAGTGAGGACAGCAGACTAAAGCTGAAAACATCTATCAGCTTCCAACTGTGGCTGTCATATATACTACTAAAGTTTATAAAAATCCTATCTGCAGGGGACCATTTGCTCAGAAAATAAATTGTCAGTTCTCCAGAACGGATGTATTTTACTGTATTTAAGGCACACTGCATCAGAGAGGGTCCTTGCTCGGGAGGGGGCTGCAGAGCTGACATCCCCCACGCACGTCCACAGGCGCACACGGAGGAGCATGAGGCAGGAACCCTCAGAGCTCCCCGGAGCAGCAGATGTTCCATATGCTCTAACAGATGCCACATACAACGTCCTTGGGATGCCTCCCATTTAACAGGAGTGCAGTGACTGCCTGGGATGAAAAGAGATGCGGAGAAGGATTTAAAAGTGAATCAGCTGAATAATGACGGCAAGCGAAGAAAAAAAGCAAAAGGAACAAAAGACAGGCAGTGAAATATGATGATCAGCCTTGCAGAGCCATCTGGCAGGCCCCCCACGCTCTGTGCTCAGCTCTGCTTTATTTGTCAGTGACGAGTGGGAGATGCTGCAGGGGGAAAACTGAGTGAGTGGGAGCTGAATGACACGTCACAAAACAAAGCCATGGCTCTACTCTGCAGAGACTCCTTGCTGCATATGAGGAGTGCTGTGGGTGAGGGAAGACCTGAATCCAAGTGGTCTTGTGTCACTTGCCCTCTTCTAGCAAAGGATATGAAGAGCTTGATGGTCAGTATTTAAAAAACCCCCAAAAACAACAACAACAAACCCAAACAAACAAACAAACAAACCCCCAACAACAAAAAACCCAAAACCAACAAAAAGCAAAAAAAAAAAAAACCAAACCAAAACAAAAAAGCAAGGAAAAATTTTAAATTTCTAGTGCAGTCACCTGACAAAGGATCATACACCTCCCCTGAAGCCGGATTTGACTCTGGCATTGCAGCAAATTGTATTCAGTGCCTTCCCTCAGCTCCAGTACTTGTTTACTGACAGCCATGTGGGCCGCCCACCTGGCCCACAGCTTCAGCCTCTCTGCAGGGACCCACACTGATGACACTGATGTCAGTGTCTTCTGCAGTGTGCTTTGAATAGCACAGCCTTGTAGAGGAACTTGGCACTGTTCTTAAAACAAGGAGGAAGGGGTCTCTGCTCACTTCTTGTGCTAAGCCTTTCTCTTTAGGGAAAACCTATCTGGAAGGACCTCCTCTCCAGGTCCAGAAAGGAGAAGGTTCAAACATAAAGATGGAGAACTGCTCTGCAGAGTACTCCTGAAATGATTTTTTGTAAATGTTGAACAAATACCCAGTGGTGAAGCTGCCTCTTGCCTGCCTGGAAATATATCAAGGAGGGATCTGTAAAAGGCAGCAAACATGTCTTGGATGTGGATCAGGGAAAGCTGCTCAGCACAATACATTTATGTAAGAAGGGGCCAAAAGAGAGACAATACCTTCCCTGGATCAAGAAGCCACAGAGATGGAGAAAAATGCAACAGATGGACTGAGTGAGTTTGAAACAGCAAACAGCAGATCATATCCTAAAACATTTTCATTAATCATTGCTAAGAATCACAAAGCAGAAACTCACAGAAAACAACTAATGCCACGGGAAAGCTGTTTCTCAGTCACATGCTTTTGTTTCCCTATAAACATACATTAACATCTCTCTTTCTAAAGAGATTATGGTGTGAAGTGTAGAAGTGCTGCAATTATGAAACAGTGAAAAAGACACTGTTCTTTTTGCCCAGCTTATGGACCCCTGTTCACACAATCCAGCCCTGAAGCAGCACAGATGCCAGAGGTCAGATTTACCGTGACACACGAAGAGCTCTCACTGCTGGAGAGACTGTTTCAGTGCTGTTTCATCCTAGCACTGAAATGAGCAGCAGAAAGGATGAAAAGGGAGTGGGAAAGTGAGGAGTCACAGATGAGCTTTGGGAAGTCTTAAAATAACAGTGAAGAAAAGCCTTGTATGTCTTCCTCCTAGGTTGCAACTTGTGTTTTGACTTCCTGTCCTTACTATCTTTTCACCTTGTATCTGTTGAGAAAAGGTGATGAATGAAAGGAAATCAGGAGACAGCCACTAGCATTAAGAGCATTTTGTCTTCAAAGCAAGATCCTTTTCCTTGTAAGGATCATTTCACATTTTCAGAGGAGTGATCTCTTCCACATGTATCCTGACTGCCTGTGAAAACACACCCCAGTTTTTCCTCTTGATGTGTACTCCTACACAAACTATGCTGGCCAGCTTTCTCAGAGGATCATTTTCCTCTTTCCACTGTTTGATTCTCATGGAAGATTTTTGACCCTTTCATATGTGCCTTTCACTGCCCTGCAGCTGTCTTTGCTCTGAGCGCTCAGGCAAAGCATTGCATCACCTTGTCCAGGGAGATGCAGGATATACAGGGTGTTTGGTTAGAGCACCAGGATGAGATGTACCACCACAGAAGTGGGCAAAACCAGCCCCATGAATGCACAAATGACTCAGCTCTTCAGCAACTAGAACAAGCAGTTTCCATTTCGAGCATGGGATGGAGACAGACTTCACCTGCCTCGCTGTAAAACCACAGGAGCACCCTGAGTTTTTTTGCTGTTGCCATAGTGACCTCTCCCAAAAGACTGTCTCCTTAGAGAGAGAAGCTCAACTAACGTGGCATTAAGCAGTGAGTTTTGTTTCTCACTAGTCATAAATGAACCCTCAGAAGCTTCACAGAGGCATATATGCTCCTGGGAATGCATTTTTTTAGCTCCAATTTAAGCTTTGCTTATAATTTGAAGACTGCAATAAAATTTTGTCATCAGAAAATCAGGGTTTTCCATGTTCTTATTAGGAGCTATTTACTTTGAAATAATTAGCAGTGAGAACAGTTGTTTTATTAGGTCTGTGAATTTCTATCAGAGTGATGGGGTTTTGGATAACACATGAGCTTGGAAAGCCCTCAGGGTAATATATTTCCCTCAGAGGAAATAATGCAGCACTGGAAGAACATGGTAATGAGGTAAGGCAAAAAGAAACAAAAGGTAATTACATTAGAGAATATGCCTAGACAAAATGCACATCAAAGCAAAGTAAAATGAAGACTGTAAATTGACTTTCAGTTTATTATTTTTACCTTCCCATAAATCCACTGTCTGGAAAATATCTGTTGTTCTTACTCCATAGATTTCAGCAGCTTTTAAGAACTGAGAAATTTGTTCCATCTGCTTGAAAGCCATTTTTGATTCAGAGATCTTTGCAATAGGCTCATTTCCCTTTGGATGCAAACTGTTTATTAACTTGCATAACAGCTGAGAGATAAAGACAGAAACAAAATTAGAAAGCAGGCACCAAACTAGAAGGCAATTTCTGCACATGAAATGATGCTGCATAATGCTTTTGACCTAGCCAGTTTCTGTCAGAGACATCATTTCTTCAGTAAAGAACAAAAAAGTGAATTGATAATAATCAGACTATATTAGAAAACCATTAACGCTTTCATTAACTGAGGTAAAAGCCTAACCATATAAATCCTAATCTGCTAGAAACAACAAAGCAATCACTGGTAGAGGTTATATAACAACTAACAGAGAAGAAGCCTCATGCCCAAGCCAAAAAATAAGCAATGTCAATTGAAATGTTGTTAAAGTCACTTTGGCAGAGATTCAATGATTAGCATAGTCTTACAGCCACTGCAAACAGCAGCATCTGCCTGTTGTTCAATAAACCAATGGAATACAATGTTTTAGCTACAGAATTATTCCCAAGAAGACAGTTATGACACAATCCTATCCTTCAAATTTGCTATATCTCCTCGCCTTTCCTTGTCATCACTGATTATTTCTTTAAGATAAAAGTATACATCTCATTTTAAAAAAGATCTCATTTAACTGCATGAGAAAAATGCTGAAGGAATGAGTCATACTTATATATAAAACATGCATGACTCATAAGAATCATAAATATTGTACTGATCTCGGTGCACTAGTAGGATAATTTATCTTCTGAGATTAAGACTCTTGGTCAAAAGGAAATAAATCAGATACTAAGACATTTATTTCTGCACTGACCATGAGCTCTGACCAGTTTATCTAAATGAAGACAGAACAGAGGGGCACTGTGCCTATGAAAACACAAAAGTGTGCAATTGGACAAAACACTTACCGTTCCATCCATCAACCAGGTCTGAAAATGTTGCCTTCCAGGAGGAGGGTGTTCTATCTGTTCTCCACACTGTACAATAATCCAGTTCACCAGCCTAGACTCTAATTCTGGGTCGTATTTCTGTTCAATCTTTTCCTGAACTTCTCGGCTTAAGCCATAGCTTGGTCCTCTGTTAGCCATCTCTGAAACAAGGGAGAACTTACTTAGGGGGCAGAGTCCCAGTCTACACCTTTGAAGTATGCACAGGAAAATTCAAGGATAAAAGAGTGAGCAGCCTGCCCTAAGTGTTAGACAGTTAAACAGATGTTCATCAACACTGAAAGTAACTGTATGACACCGGGTTATAGCTCCACAGAACAGGGGAGGGACCAGTGAGGGAATATCCTTTTCCAAAAGCACAAATCAGCTACAACATCTTTTTTAAAAGGAAGGAAAAAAACAGCAGTCCCCCCCCTGCCCAACCGCAAAAACAGAAGAAAAGCAAGATTTAAAACACAGTAGGTTTTAAAGAGAGGCTTCTGCTATGTTTACAGAGATTACAATAGGGTTGTCAGATCAACATTACAGCTGCCTGCAAATCCAAAAGCACTTTAAAATTGCCTACCTAATACTTGCTAATAAGAAGGAGGTTGTGCATGGGAGTTCAAGCAATCCGATTAAAGATGCAGTCAGAGTCTTCCTCAGCAGAGATGCAAGAATGGATATCCAGAGATCAGCACACTGAAAAGCGAAGATGGATTTAAGAGATGAAGGCTGCCACAATGCCCTGCTGCTGCTGCAGCATCGTGGTTTGAAGAACAGTGTATTGATTTGATTTTCCTCACATATGAGGAGGGTCAGAGCAGGGGCGTTGCTAAGAGCCATTAAAGAGACCTGCCTCCTCAGTCACAGCCCAGGGATCCTGTTTATCTCGCCCATCTGTGGTCTGTTTTCATGCATCTTTCCTCAGCCTTGCGCTGCTCACCCCACCAGCTCAGATTTACTCCACCTAGTCTGCATCAACCCAAACTGCACCAAGCATCCCCGTGACAGATAGGAAGAAACACAAACAAGAGGCACTCTGTTAAATGAAGGTGACAGAAATTACCACACATCTAGTTTATTTTTAATCATAAGCCACAAACAAACCTTTTTTCTCTCTGTTCTGCATCTCGATGAAAACAGGAGGAGAGGGTGACAAATAATTTCTCCTCTTTCCTGTTCAAATGCTGATAAAAAGTTTGAACAGGGGGACAATAGGATGAAAAGTGAAGGAAGAGAAGGTATGTAGTAGAATATTATTATCACCCTCTCATCAGTATATATTAGGCTATCAAATAGTGGAATGGTGTTCTGAAAAACAACTCAAACCTCTGAAACCAAGGGGAAATCACTGAAAACTAGCAAACCTACTATTAAGCACAAGGATTTTGCTTTCTGCTGCTATGAGTCAGCTAATGTCCAGTGATAGGAAGGGAGCTATGGCCACGTACAGTCGTTTAAATTTTGATTATACCACACATACAGTGTGGAAGGGGAGAGAACAGTTAAGATGAGACTTTTCTTGTGGTCTGATTTAATCCTGTATTAAATAAAATCACTTTGCTTCTGAGTTATACAAGACTTCGTCAAATATATTTCATTCATGCTGCATTATCCACCCTGGTATGAAATAGTTGCCTTTTGGCAAATGATTAATGTTCAGCTTGATATGCAAGGAGGTTGATGAACCTGAGGTGGACACACAGTAACAAAAGTCCTTCTGCTGCATTTGAAAAGGAAAAATAAGGGGGGAAAGCAATGCAGTTCCTTGTATATCTGTTTCATAATGGGCTCTTCTTCCATTACTTTCTCATTTTAAGATTTTGAATTCTCAGATTTATACTGCTTTTGATGCTGCTGGGCTTGAACAGACTCAAGAGATGAAAAATTTAATAGATGACCCAATTCATTGTTGTCCTCCACAAGCATTTTATTTAATGCTTTCTCTTCTCTGCACTGGTGGTTTTAAACCCCTGTGAAGCACTCGATTACATAACTCAGAGCATGCTACGTGACAGGGCCACCACTTGAGCACTTTCCGTCTCAGTGAGCACGGGCTGAAGGCACAGCGGATGCGCAGGAACCAAGGCTGCAAGCCCAGCCTGGAGATCAGAGAAGGAACAGGCTGCAACTGCAACAGGAATATGGATTTGACATCCTTTCCCTTCAAGCAGCTGTTAAGGGCTGGGCTATACACTCTTTGGCCAGTCCCACAACCAATAAGCTTTATTTTGCACTTTGAGATCTTTTTGTGTTCTTCTGTTTAGAAGGAAGCTGCCCTGCCTGGCTGTTTCTGATCACACTGAAGGGCTCAGTGCTCACCGGCAACAAGATTTCATGGAAGTCACCTACCTTTGCATCAGCCTCTGTTTCCTAACTTGGGGGCAGGGATGAGTAATTTACTCTCCTAAGCTTCAGAATAAAGTTTCCCCCTTCACAGATGTTGGCCATGCAGCCTGTTCTCGAGGGATTGTTCCACACTGGGAAAACTGAAAAGCTTGTCCATCAATATCAATTTTTAATAAGGCTTTGAAAAACTGGGAAACTGCAGAGGATTGGAAAAATGCCAGCTCCCCACCAGTATCTTCCAAACTACCACTAAACAAATCATAAGCCTGCTTTCTGTGCCATCAATCCTGAGGAAAACAATAGGATTTTTTTTTTTTTTAAGTGTTAATGTTGATGCAATTTACTAAATGCTCTGTAATATATTGGAGTGACATGACATGTTGATTAGGGAACTAAACCAATTCTGAAACAACATGACACATTAGAGAGATTAAAGATGGCTAACTAGTACACCCTGTAATATGACTGTAACTGAAAAATCATTAAGGATGGTGTATATTTATTCAGTTTGTACAAGAATATGTTCTCAGTCCTGAACTATTTATTAGAAGTCACAAAAAAAACCCCAGGCTCCTAAGAAGATCCTAGCTCATGTGAGTAAGCGAAAAAGACAAAAAAACCTCATTGAAAACAGTCTATGTGGAAGCAGATAAATAGTGTCTGATTGCAGCCAAAGTCCAGCAATAATTGAAAAAGTACTTTTAAGAATGCAACTCTGTACTGTGACAAAAAATGATGTAAAAAAAAGTGCAGAGGACAATGAAGATGTTGGGCTGGCTTGGCTAAATAAAACATGGGAGGTGCACCAACAGCAATGGGACTATCATATCCAGTTCTGACAACTACTCTTCATAAAAAGGAGTGGACAAGTAAAGTAAATTTAAAAAGTGATTCTAGTGACTGGAGGATTAAAAATTAGAGCTTTTACAGTAATCACATCAGAAGGATTACCTATCTCACCAAAACCAGAAGTTAAGAAATGGCAAGCACATGTGCCTACACGTTAAAGAAAAACTGAAGAAGCTCAAGTTCCTTATGTCAGGCACAGGCAGATTAAAGCCTGATGGTTAGAAACGTGATGTGGAAGAAAGGGGCAGGTTTACAGCACAAAGGTACTACAATTAGAACACTTCACCTACTACTTCAAATGGATTCTGTCCACTTATTTTTCTTGGCAACAGAAGACTAGAATTTATGACTAAAAACTAGGGCTGAAGCTTGAATAATTGAAGTAGCATTTCATGCCTGTAAGCACCATGACTCACCTTATGCTCCCAAATAATCACAATATTATCCTATAAATTTAAAAAATCTTTGTAAGCCTATAAACAAATGCTACCAAAATCAACAACAAAACTGACATTAACTAGCTCACTACCCATGTGTAGATCCAGGGTAACTCAATAGCTTTCAATGTCTTCCAACTGGAATATAGAAGAAAAAGTAAAACCTATCCTACCACAGGGCAATCATTAACCTTTGTCAGAGTCATGGTTTGGCAATTCATTCCTTAGAAAGAGCCTGGTATTTCAGCTATCCCAAGCACCATCTTACAAAGTATGGTGGGTTGAATCCCCATCATAAAGCTATCCAGCAATATCTGTGAAGTCCAGGCTTCATTTCCCTGGTATGCCACTGTACAATAATGGACCTTTCATTATTAAATTTTAAAAAAACACAAAAAATAACAACCAAAACAAAAAGAGGGAGTTTTCCAAAACTTTTAGGTTTACAGAACCCCCCTTCAAAAGGAAATGTCCGATGAGCTGCTCAAAGATCCTCCCTGCATGAATGTCTATGTGTGATGTCAGATTTTCTAGAGCTGTGGAGAGGATGCTCAGGTCCAGTGCAAGCTCAATTCAAGTACAGGGTCTTTTTCTGGGAGCTTCATGGCAGGAAAGTGCTCTGCAGAGCCTTGGTTTTAGGCATGGCCTTGCTTTGTCATAAGATACCTATAGATGTTCTACAAAAGAGAGGACTAGGGGAAAAAGGTGGTATTGGAATATTGCCTTCTTTTCAAAAGTGCAAAAACAGGTGGCAGAGTTATCAGAACCAGGGGACAACATTAATTTTAGAAATTCTGACTTCTCCATATACTTTGAAATCTACAATCTCGAGGTTCTCGAAGACAAAAAGTGATAACTTGAGCAAGTATCTTCCTTTCCACCTGCAAAAAGGTTTATTTGTCAGCTCTGAAGATGCTATGCCCTTGCCCCAAGCAAGTGCATACTTGGAACACCTTAAATTTGGGTTTAAAAGAAAAGAAATTCAGGAAAGAAGGCCATTCCTATTTGTGTGACAAAAGAGAATGCACCAATACTCCAGCCTGCAGAACAAGGCTGCCATGAACAGGAGTGTTTCTGGACTTTGTAAGTCACTGACCACCTTCCAAGCAGCTTGCCAGCAGAAACAGTTACCACTTAGCACTGGAAACCAATTCCTGTGGATATAATTATCAGCATTCCCATTATTCAAGATGACCTTGGAAGTAAATTGTGCGTTTATATTCTCAGGACCTCTTAAGTTTTGTGCTGAATTAACAGAGTCCTTTGAAAGAAACCCAGATGGTTTCATATCGATTGCTTATCTGTCCCCAGATAAAACAGTACCTCCTGAGAACTACTTTGGCTTGAAAACTATAAACTGTGATGCACACTCACAGTAGAACAGAAAGGAAGCAACATCTTTATTTCACTGAAACATAGGTCAAAAAAGACAGCAAAATTTACAATCAAGAACTGCCTAAAAGATCAAATCCTGTAACTACATAAATGCTGTTTCTTATGGTTAGGGATTTAGCTCTGCCCTAAGGAACTTTTTCAAGAGCTACTGTCCCAAGGACTAGCACATTCTGGCACACTTTCTGCCAGCAAGCCATAAACAATTAAACCCCAAAACCGAGGATTCTTGTAAGGTCTGATCCTAGGCAGCCTTCAGGGAATGCTTTTCCCAGGCTACAGTCTGGGCAGCCCACTTGCATCACTCCAAGCCCTAAGTCTGCTACTGTTCAGCAGACCTTTGCCATCGACAGGAGCACCTGCTTCCACCCCAGCAGGCAGCAGTGACCTTCTCATGTTGCCACGTGGGAGGCGAGTGAACAGCATGGTGCAGATCAGAAGGCCCAAAAAGAGCACAACCTTTCACGTGCTAGCCTAGAAACATTTCAAATATGTTTTTTAATTTCAGAACCAAATGACTGGAAGTTTCAGGAGCTGTCATTTGCTTTTCCTTCCAAATATAAATGCAGAGCTGAAGCTCCTTGACAGACACAAATCAAGAGAGTCCAGCAGGTTGAATGTGTGTGTACCTGTGAGCTGCAATTACTGCATCATATGGAGGATGCCCCTTTCTCTTCAATGGAAAAGAAGCACTGATGAACTACATAACATACATATGCAAGACTTGAAAGAGAAATACAAGGTCAAGACTACAACCAAACTGCAATAAGTCCTGTAATTTAGATTTACACATTACATGATCAAGAATGTAACATTTTTCTGTTACAGGCAAATATATATTGAAGAGAGATGAGGTGCTACAGTCACAAAGCAAATGTGAGCTATAAAAATTTACCAACAAGCAGTAAATCTATGAGCAGTGCATTTCTGACCTTCATCTCTGCCGCTCTTTCCCAATAGTAAAATCTTCCCCTAGGAAATACCTGCCAGGAGCAAAGTGTCATGAACAGGGGCATTAAAACCTAATGCTCAGAAAGCTGGCTGCTATTTAACACAATGGCTGAGTTGCCTCTGCCTTTCCTGCCCCTGCTGGACTTGAGAACAAACTTAGAAGGGCGAGAGTGCACACAGATGTTTGGTATTTCTGTCTGCATTCCTTACACAGCTGATGAATTTTCACCAACCTTTGATGAAATTTTACATTCGTACACCTCTTAATCAATTTGGTCATCAACACAAAGCAGAGTGATTGCTCATCTCAAAGACAGGACAAACACAGAACCCTGGAAGCCTTTAGTATGGCCATAACTTTTCAGCACTCAAAAAAACTAAAAAAATGTGAAAGGGTAAGCTAGGTCTCTTTGTAGCAGCTTAACTGAGTAGCTTAGAAAACAAGTTCAAATCTCATTATTCTCCAGGACACAATTTTCCCTCCCACTTGTTTGGGCTTTTTCCTGCCACAGAGGAAAACGAAATTACAAGCACAAACCTAATGTAGAGACTCTGACCACAGCACTGGTTCAGAAAATGTTGCAAATCTGTGTTGAACCATGAGCAGAGCACTGAAGATACTTGAACAGCTGCAGACAAGTCACCAGTTGAATGTTCCTTTCTAAGCACGTTTTAATTTGATATGAAAAGTATGGTACCATAAATCTTTTAGCCCCATTGAATAACAGCATGTCCAAGAGAGCATGTAACCAAAATTAACATAAAAATGAAACAGCAGGAGGTGGTTCTTCTAAGGCCTATCCAGACAGGCTTTTTTGTGAACACTGCCTTGTTTGCATTTAGTGTTGAAGCAAGAGAAAACAGCTTAGCTAAACTGAAACTACATGAAACACTTACCACCAATTAAGTCAAAAAACCCCCCAAAACCAAGAAACCCAAGCCAGCTGGTGTGTAATACAAAGTCAAACAAGAGGAGAGACAAAACAATTAGAATATTTAACAAGATAAAAACACATGTATCTAAAACTGTGTAAGTACAGCTCAATATAAGCAGAATATGAGCACTTGTTTATTAGGAAACAAGTTGAATATGCTTTAGAAACTGATTATTTCATGTGAATCAATTATTGTTGAGGAAATGTACATTATATATTCACAAAATATACTTTGCATTTGTCAACAAATCAGCAGTCTGTTAAAAAAAAAAAAACCAAACCAGAACATAATTCATTAGAAAGGATTTTAAGTATCTTCACCATGCAGAGCTTTCCCAGTGTGTAATATCCTATTTTAATATAGTATCTCTACAGAGGAATGAAATACTAGTTTTTAAACATGACTAATATGGAAAATATTAGTAGATGCCTGTGTAGGCATTAATGCAGTGGACAAAACAGTACCAATTTGGAATGACACTGTAATATGTGAATATGCCATTATTTCAGATTGTCAAAATTTCCTGGTAGGTCAACAGTGGCTCAGAGGTAGGATGTAAATCTCTCTAGTTATCACTGTGCTTTCTTTCAGTCATCTGAACATGCCAAGTTGACAACAGTCAAAACTTTAGTAATTTCCTGCATGAACACAGGGAAAATGCTTATGCTTGCAAAGATAAAAGTATCAATGGAACTACCACAGCAAAGTCAGAGAAAAAGGTCTGTCTGCACAAGGTCTTCCTCAGAGCCAGCTCTTCATACTTAAGCAAACCAGACTTAGAAAAACAAAAAGTGAGCACAGAGAGGGCTCTAGCATTCCCTGAATTTCAAAACACTACTTGGAACACTGTCTTTATGAATAAAGTATAATCTCTGCCTTTGCATTTAGGCCATATGTAACAAACATTGGGTGTACCTGTACTGTAAATGCTACCACTGATCTCCATTTAGCCAGCAGAGAAGGAAAACAGAACTACAAAACAAGTGGCAGCAAAACCCCCTCCCCTAAAATCAAGTTTTCAGTAATCCTGTGGTTTCAGCCACTGATGCTGCAGTTTTGTATTCTCAACAATTGTGTCAACCCTGTTACACTGAATTCTCCCACCTCATGTTATTACAGCAGAATAATGGAGGGGGCAACAACACAAAACACCAACAGCAAACAAGGGAAAAAAACCTCCTGAAAACTATTTACAACTGCTCCACATTTGCTTTCACCTATCTTGCTCTAAGGCAGTGCAACAGACACCTTACCTGTAAAATATCAATTATTTAATAAAGGCTAACATGAAGCATGAATACAATGCAAGTCCTTCAAGAGGAATAGACAGCTATAGTTTATGCAGGCACACAAAGCCTTTTCCTCATCTGAAGTACTAAATTGAATGTTTACGTTTATAACTTCCTATTAAAAAAATAGGCTCAAAACTTTTCAGTCACTGAAGTAACTTTAATATGTGTCATGAAAAAGTACATCTATTATAACTGAAACTCTTGGCATTAATTAAATTAATTAAAAGCAATTACTTTGGAATTACTGCAGTCCACTTGTTTCAGCCTTTTCTTTGATTATGAGCCAAACCAATCTAAGATGTGACAAAACTGAATTTAAAAAAAACCTCATGGCTTAGGGCACAATGTTTTGAAATAATTTTGATTTGACTGCATCTTTAAAACTCACAAAATCCATTTTTTAAGTCTTATCAGATGCAAGTCATACAAACACATATAAAGATGACAGCTGCTTAACACTACATAAACATGGACACAGTTCCAACTCCAGGAATGCAATTTGCATTTGATTTCTCAAAAGTTAAAAACATTTTCCAGAGGTTTTAAAGCTAAAGTGAATTGCATAGTGATACAAACAGAAGACCAGTCTATGCCAGAAATACTTGGGAACAAGATTTCATGAAATGTTCTAATTCCCCAAGCAATTATCCCAATCTAGATTATCCTGAGCTGGATAGAGACTATTTATTAAAGAGTATGTTGTGACACAACAAGGGGGAGAATGGGTTCAAACTCAGGTTTAGATCAGATAATTAGGGAAAAATTCCTTACTGTGAGGCACTGGAACATGTTGTCTGTGGGAGTTGGATACCCCATTTCTGGAAGTGTTCAAGGCCAGGTTGGATGGGGCTCTGAGCAACCTGGTCCAGTGGAAGATATCCCTGCCCATGGCATGGTGGTTGAATCTAGATGATCTTTGAGGTCCCTTCCAACCCAAACCATTCTATGATTCTGTGACTAATTGAGTTAGGGAATTGGTACTTTAAGCAGAAAATCTGCATTTAAACAAGAGCCATCTTTTTCACTTTTATATCAAAATTCAATTTTTTTTATATCACAGCTTCTTGTTTTTCACAGTATTGAAGCCTAAATAAAACTGTACTTCAAAGGAAGTAATCTGAAATGTAGGTTTTGTTGTTGCTGGGTTTTTTTGCTTGATTTCTGTTTGGATTTTTTTTTATTTTTTTAGCTGTTTGTAGTGTTTTTAATTAAAACCCACTACCTCAGCAAAGCCTTGTTCAGCACACTTCTACTGACATAGCTAAAACTGAAAATGACAAACTCTCTAGAAATACCTTACCCCCAGCAGCTTCAGTCTTTTAAGGTAACAATAGTGATGTCATTTACTACTTCAAATAATAAACCCAGAAACAATTATATGCTTTTGACTGATAGTACACATTAATTCCAGCCTCTCACCTAAGCTCCTCTCTCTCAATTGTATGAATGGTACTGTATTTTTGTACAAAACCCAGGTAACACTCATATTTGCAATTAAATCAATTTCCTATTAAATTCTATGGATTTACATTTTAAGAATTATCCAACTATCGAGTTCCATTTACAGCTTCTCAGGGTTGGACTTAAGCAGCTGAAGAAGACAATTTGACAAGAAGAAGAGAAATGAAGAAGAATTTCCTGTTCCCAGTAATCCACAGCTCTCAAGTCATGGGAAGGAGGCAGTGGTGCTCTGTGGCACTGTACTCTCCATTTTGAAGAAGTTCCTATTAAAGTCACCTTATTGATCCAGTTTCAGTTTACACCAAGATTATTTATTGTTCCCTTAACAGTAGGCCCACAAATGAACAACGACAGACAGGCAGCCTGGAGAAGATGACACACACCCTCCTGATAAACACAGATAAAGAGCTCTTAAGGCTTTGAGGCCCTGCATTCTTAGAAGTCAAATTCTTCCCTATGCAGTACCCCAAGCACACCATCAGGGTGTGCCTTCCACTTTTTAACTGCATTTGAGAACAAAATAACCATTTATCTGAAATCTGTTTATTGTGTTTCATGGTACTCACTATACTAATAACTAACTTCAGTAAACACTCAAGCTGTATTTTGCCTTGCACAGATGGTTTCAGACATAAGATAGAATGATGGTACAGAGGAGGGACAATAGGTGTCAAAGATGTAAAAATAAAATTTTACTGTACAGGCCAATAGTAACAAAAAGTAATCAACATGTCAGTACAAAATTGTAGGAAATTTGTGAAAAAAACGGTTAAAGTGGTGAAGGAGAGGTTCTGAACACAATAGCAGCACTCCTTCACACTTTGGACTGTGTGCAAATGCAGCAATAATACAATACCTGTATTTACGAAACAGAGGTAAGGAAACAGCAGATAAAGCTTAGTTCCTACTGTGACAGTCAGAGGCCTGCCACCATCTGGGTAAGAACAGGGCTTCTGCAACTCAAGGAAAAGAGTCAGGTGTAGAGCTCATGCACTAATGCTACTCTTCAGCTTATGCTACCGTTGACAGCTTGTCAATTAGATCATCAACAGTATTCACAAGGAGCTTTGTATCCTCCTTGTCACTCATCCGATGCTGGCCGATTTTGCGGAGGATAACATCCACGTCCTTGCTCAAAACACGGTCAGCTACTTGCATAGAGATCTCCCAAGGGACATCACCATCCCTCATGCCGTGGATAAGGCGTATGGGACATGTTACAGGAATAGGACTATTCAGCACACAGTGATTTTCTGCTTCTCTGATAAAGTCATAGGTCAAGGAGTAATATCCTTCCTCATTTTGCTTTGTTCGATACTTCCATTCACCCTTTTCTTCTATTTCTTTTTGTGCCTATAAAAAAAGAGAGCAAAGAATAGACAAAAGAGATGTTAGGAGTACTTAAGAATACCTCAACTTATTCCTGTTCTAAAAGCAGTAAAACTCACCCAAGCACAAAATTTCACCTCGCTCATTTTTATTAGCAGAAGTGTATTCCTGCTCTCCTCCCAGCATCTGAGAAGACAAATCTCTTGCCATGTCACAAAGGCTGCTCTCCAAATTAATCTAGTTAAAATTCACCAATGAAATTAAGTTTCTTAGCCAAAATCTATCAGAAAAGAAAAAGATGTAATGCCACTAGAAACAGTAAATCTCCTTGGCTTCAATCGGTTCACAGATCATCAAACAAGGAGAAACCCTAGAGAAAAGACATTTTCCAGTGATCAGTCTTTGCCACAACAGGTGTCTCTAAACACTGCATTTCCAGATTCTTAAGTATTTTCAGAATCTGAGTCCTAAATGGTGATACTGACACTACAAAATACCTTAGAAAAAACCCAAACAAATTGGGAAAATATCATTATTCTAAAGCACACATTACTTATTGCCATGTAATACCTCATTTACTTTCCTCAAGACTAGACATTATTACCATCAAGGAAGCATCTCAGAAGGGCAGTTCCCACTACCTAAATCTTATAGTCTTTACAAACACACTAACATGAAGAATTTGCTTTCTATGCACACAACCTGTGTCATACTTATCCAGTGCCATCACCTCAACTACTTTAGTGGCTACTTTTCCATCCTTCAAAGCATAAGATAAGCATTCTAATCAATGCAAATATCAAGATATTCAACACTGAAACTATCAGACTGCAAACAGCAGGGATCTGACTTCACAGCCTCTAAACCACAGTAGTATAAGGACACTCTGGCTAGTGTTCACACTAGTCTCATACTGTAAACTTACATAATCAAACACAGAAAACTTACCCTAAAATTTGCAGGAAAAGTAGAGTTTAAATAACATCATTTCTTAAATTCTTGGTAAGATTTTTAGAATGCATGAAAGCCAACCATCAACATTTACCTCAATGGGAAGCCTCTTAAAACTTGTTACAACGTGATCTGCTGCTACAGCTACTCCAACCAGAGCAGCTACTTTATCTGGGCGTGCTATTGCAGCATGAAGCATCAGCCATCCACCCATGCTGGAGCCCACCAGAATCTGGAAAAGAAAATTTGAAAAAGAGAAGAAAAGATAGTGTTTAACAAGAAATAGCTATTAGGTTTTCTCTTCTTGCACAAAGTATCAGTTTTCACTTGGTTTAACTATTTAAACCTTGGGCATAATCCTGCTGTCCTTATCCAGGCAGAACTGCTGTCACCTCCAGTGGAAATCTTGCCTGAGTAAGCACAAGATCTGGTATTTATTATTCTGTTTGGTATGGCTGGTTATTGCTGTCTGAGACTGAAACACTGTAAACAAAATGAGAATTGAAACAATTCAGTATCATATGCATACTTTTACGCTTTCTTCTCAAGATAAATGCACATGGTAAAGGCTCAGTGCAGTGAAATAAGTTAACAAAAGTGATTCATAATACAGAATTGTTTTAAACACAATACTAGGTGTTTCTAGGTTGAAGGAGATTCTAAATTTATCACAGTAATTTCTAAAGTAACTGAAGAATATCAAATGCTACTTCTCCTGCCTGTTTTTTAAAGCTGTTTTATCACATGGAGTATCTTGTAGTCTTCCTGCAAATCCATTAATTAATGCATCAGCATGGGTCAGTGACACACTTTTTCTTTAACGAGGCTGCACTGCACTGGAACAATTCCCTGTCCGCTGTCAGGTGGCACCTCCACCAGGAGGCTTTCTTAGACTCTCTGGGACAATAGCCCTGCTCTGAGCAGGAAATTCTAATAAACAACCTCCAGGAGGTCCTGCCAATCCATGCATTCATGATTTTGTGATTTTTGTGACCTACCTGCTTGCAAAAGAGCTCCTATGAATACAACCTCTCAAATGATTCAGCTTGGAAGTGAGCAGCTGTTTAGCTGTTCAGCAAAAGCTACTGTTGACCAGAGGTGTTATGGCATTTTTGATCAAGGTTCAACCCTGAGGGAAAACCAGCATTCTATATTTAAAAATAAAATATAACCTGTGGTCCATCTGTAAGTTCATCCAGTATAGACAGAACATCTTTCCTCCACTTCCCAACTGTACACTCTTCAAATTTACCATCTGAACTTCCACATCCTGTATAGTCAAATCTGAAAAAATAACCATCAACATGAAAGTCAGTCTACAGTACTGTCTACAGCAACACAGACACTAACTAAATACTACTGTATAATCAAACCAGCAGGGGACAAGATACCACACTGAGTATTTTCTTACTTGGTCCTATCTATCACTAGGACCAGAAATCACATAGAAATGGTTTAAGTGTAACATATACAACTAAGTTGTGCAGCATTCTCTATCATTTGATATAATATCATAATTTAAAAGAACAGACAAAAAATTTCCCTTACAGACAATAAAAAAAAATACCTCAGACACTTCAATTTTAAAGGTATTTTTAAAATGTACAAACTCTTTCAAACACTGAACCCAAATACAAAGATTTATTACACACAGCATTCCACCTCATCTATCAAAGGACAGCATCACCAAGCAGGGACATATTCTTTGAAACCCACAGAAGACACAGGGTAACTTAATCAGACGTGGCAGGTATGGATAGTGCTTATCATAGTAACTTACAAAACAGAACTCCAGGTCCTTAATTTTTATGCCTATAGCCTGACTGTAAAATGTAGCAATGGCTAGACTACAAAAAAATTAGAGCATTTTCTGAATTACTTTCAGAATACATTCTCCTGATTTACCTCAGTGTCTCTACTGACAGAAATCCTACATTTGGAAATGGAAGAAAGACTTCTTATCTGGTATACAAGCTCCCTTAGCACAGGGAGCATCCCAATCCAAATGCCAAAGTTTATGTATTTGTATTAAAACCTTCCCACAACCCATGAGATTAGTTTAATTTTCTCAAGAACAATACTCCTCTATGTACCTGATGAAGGCATGACCTAATGATTTGCAGAAATCTTCAAGGGCAGTTGCTTTCTGACCATTCATATTTGAATTGAAGCCTGGAAGGAAAATAACCCCTGGATTCCTCCCTTTTAGTTTCTGATAAGCAATATTTGGTCGATCTGGTCGAGTAAGAAAGCTGACTGATGACTTCAGCCTGCAAACTAATAAGAGGAGCTGTTTAGTACAACCATCATGATAACCTTGGCAGAAACACAAGTTTCTATAAACCCAGGGTTTGGCAGATATGGATGTATTATGTGAAAATAAGGCATTTTGGCTCAAGAGAGAACAAAAAAGCATCTTCTATATTCTTTAATGACTGACAAGTACTGATGAACCTGAAAGAGAAAGTTTATTGTGATTCATTCTCAAATGATTAAACGCCAACCACAGAGAATTCACTCAGCAATTAACAAAGTGGTTGACTGAAAACGAACACTAAGGCTTCCTAGACTTCATCAGTCCTCATTCTTCATACCACATCTTGAATACATTTACTCATTTCACAAAAAAAACCTTCCCATTTAGTATCTGCTTAGTTTAACCTTTTATTTTCAAAAAGCCTAATTTTGAGACTAGTGTACTCTGTGCAATGGAATTTTACAAGTACCTGAAGTGAGAAATTTTTCATGAAAATTAAAACAGAAGGATAATACTGAAACCTTATCAAAACCCTGGATCCACACAATATATGGAGATATACAGGCAAGTTCATAATCAAGAATTGGGGAAGAATCTTTGACTAACTTTTTCATCATAATGAGCATAAAACAACATTAGCATTGTTTAAACCAAATGAAATAAATAACATCAAACAAGGAAATAAGATTTACAGAGGAAATGCTAACTAATTAATAATTCTGCTGAATCTCAACAGCTGCTACAGGATTTAATCTAACTATAGCAGTCAGTTGTACCTCTACTGCAGGTAAGGACAAGTAATTTGTAGAGAGCTGTTTAGGAGACTTAATCCACTCTATTATCCAATTCAGCATGGTAATTTGCTAAACTGAAAGCCTGGTCAAGTCTTCTAAGACTTTGACACTCCTAATTCTTAGATTAGAAGATGACTGGCTCTTCAGCAGTGGGGCACAGAAACTATGCAACCTGAAATAAAGTGTCAGGGCTTCCTAGGGGGGGATAAATAGTGCAAAACCCAAGCCCTGACAGAATCACACAACTTAAGTGTCCTGCAGCTTTGAGTTCTGTTTTGTCACTATCAGAGAGATTATATTCAAGGGGTTTTGGGGGACTAGTTTGTTGTTATACTTGGATGTGCATGGGTAAGTGTGGATACATAACAGATACAGGGTGCAGCTAGCATTCAGCACTTTTCTACAGTCTAACAAAAAATTCATCATTTGAACTATGGATTAAAACCATTAAATAGCTCCTCAAACAATGAGGTAGTTCTTTATCCTACTGAGGCATGAGTTGTTTATAAATGTGAATGACTTCCACAGTAAAGGTATTCAGATGCATCCATTTTTTGTAGTTTTGTTTGTGTCTCTCTCACTAAACCAGACAATTCTTCAAGTACCAGTAAGAGCAGACACACCAAGAAGCATTAAATTTAATAGAAAAATAACTGGAGTATTTTTCTCCCCCTTAAGCCCTGATAGCCATCTCTGAAGCCACTTGTCTTCCACGCTGCAGCACTCTGGAGGTGTCCTCAAATTACTCTGACACTGGGCCTGCCAACTGCACCTACAAGACAGAACCACTGTCTCTAAGCTATTTCACAAACTATTCTTCCATTTAACAAGTTAATGGAAGCACCAGCAGCAATCTCAACCTGAATAATGCAAACCCCTAAAACAGCCACTGCAGCCAACCCAAAAGCAGAGCTCAATGCAGTCACCCTCTCAGACTTCTGTTTAGACAGACAAAACTATCAACAGCTACCCAGCAATTTCTTTTCCTTATTTTAGGAAAGACCTTCATAAGAGCAGGGAAGCATTTCTGAGGGGTGCAAGGCAGGTATTGGTGTTTATAAAAGCAACTTACAGACAGAAGGGGATAGCTACGGGAAGACCACATGACCCTTGCCTGATGGTATCTATGGAACTCTCTTCATACCGGAGTCACTGTGCACTTTTATGAACACCAGAAACTGTGACTGAGACCAGTGTTAAAGCCAAAGAAGTTCCCTGAACAAATCTGGGAAGGTTCCTGCACTGAGATCTCCCCACTTCCAGCAGAAGCAGATTAAGGCTGATGTGACAGGTAATGGACTCAGCTCTGTCCACACCTGGGTTCACAAACCACCCTCATTCCAGCAGGAACTGCTGCTTGGCCTGGTCCCAAAGCATCTAAAGACACACTCAAATGAACAGATACTCCCATAACGGTACCGTTATAAACACACAGAAAGGAAGAAAAACACAGTAACAAAATCCCCCTGCATTCAAGCTTTTATGCAGCTACAAAATGTGCACCCCTAGGGGCAAGTAAGTTTTACTTATTGAGCAACCTCAGATGACATTCATCTGTCCGATTAAAGGCAATGAATAAAACTCAACAGGTCAGACAAGCACGAGGTCTGACACATCAGGAAGGGATACTTCGTGTTTGGGCAGAGACCGATCTCACCCAGAAGTCGATGCCAGCAAAGTTTTTCAGGTGCCTGGCGGAGCTTTACAGGCACGCACGTTTCACACCCGATCAAGCGAACTGGCTCCTCAAAATTCACCAGGGGCAAGAGCTTGGAGCCAACAAAACACACGTGGGAAAGCAGCTGTCCTGCCCCATGCACAGACACCGAGCCCCCCCCCGAGAGCCTGGCGGGGAGGAGAAGCCTGTCAGGAACCCCGTCGGAAGGGAACCGAGTTTAAGATGCCCATCCCCACCAGAGGGCCGCACCCCGGCCCTTCCCGATGGAGACGGCGCTGAAGGGAGGAAAGGGTGCCACCCACAGCTGCCCTAGAGCCGCCCGCCGGCACCGACACACATCCTCTCCCCTCCGACAGGCACCCCTTCTGCTCCGAGCTCCCCGCGGCCCTTCCCTTACCCAGGAGCGCCCGGGCCGCCCTCAGCGGTGACGGCGATCCCCGCAGGGCCGCGGCGCGGCCGGCCCGCACCAGCGCTCCCGCCATGGCCGCCATGGCCGCCGCCCGCGCACGCGCACGAGCCGCCCGCCTCCCCCGCCTGAAGGGACGGGCGGGGCGGGCCGCGCTCTGCGCTCCGGGCCGAGCTTCCCTGGGAAACTGCAAAGTTGTGTCAATTGAAAAAAAAAACAAAGAATTGAGCGATCATGTCCCAGCGGGCGTGGTTCCCCCGAGCCAGCTGTGTCTTGCAGCTAAGAAGGCCAAGGGTGTGCATTGGAACGTTGCCAGCAGGTCGGGGGAGGTGATCCAGGCCCTCTGCTCAGCCCTGGTCAGGCACCTCTGGGGTGCTGTGTCCGGCTCCTCAGCACGGGGGGGACACAGAGCTCCTGCAGCGGGTCCAGCGGCAGGCAAGGAGGGTGACTGGAGCACCTCTCTTAGGAGAGGCCGAGGGAAAGGCCTGGGCCTGCTCAGCCTCAAGAAGAGATGGCTGAGAAGGGACCTCATTCACGGGCTCACACCTCCGCACCTTCTCTCAGTATAGATGAGCACAGGAGCCAAAACTACATCTTTATGCACTGTACCCTTTTATATACAGGCCACGGCAGCCACAAAGAAAAGAAAATAATCATAGAAACTACAAATAATTTAGACTGGAAAAGATCTCAAATATTGAGTCCAAGCTTTGACCAAATACCACGACTTCAACTAGACCATAGCGCTATGTGTCATGTCCCATCATTTCTTGAATACCTCCAAGGATGTCCCCCACCACCTCCCTGGGCAGCCCATTCCAGTGCTTGACAGCCCCTTCTGTGAAGAAATTCTTCCTGATATCCAACCTCCCACATGAAAACGAACGCTAGGAAAGGTCAGTGCCTGCCAAGGTAAGGGTGTTTTCCCATCCAAGCACCAGGCCAGCACCTGTAGGTCATGGGACACAGCAGAGGTGGTTTTTAAGACTTAGACTCTGTGGTCTGCAATTGCCTGAGAGCCTTCAGGGTAAACTTGAAGGGCTTTGTATGATCAGTGCAGACTGATCATAAAAGGGGGTGCCTACCACCGTGCTCTACTTACGTTGTCTTGATGTACACCACTACAGAACCCACCCCACTTCATGATGATGATGGCAAACTTAAGAGAAAATAAATCAGTCAGAAAACCACACTGATTTCCACAGTGAGTTAATACTCTGATTCAGGTCATGTCTAAGTCAAATATTGTGAAAACTTCAAAATCCTTAAACTCAAGCAATTTCTGATTTGCAGTTAAACCAAAAAAATTGTCAATATCCAAAGCTGGTGATAAATTTTTCAAACAGATTCATAAAAAATGGAAAAGGCATTATATACATGCAGAAAACAGACTACACTCCTAATTTCACTGCCCTCCAAAATTATTTTCCATAGTTCTTCCATAGTTCTTTTATGGGAAAATATATAGAATAGTTCAATTAAATGTTACTGAGAAATACAGTATTGTTTGCACAACTGTATACAACTATTTAAAATAAAAGCAGAAATGTCTCAGGATAATGCAGCAAGAAAATATTTGAAACAAGTGTATTTTTAAAAATGTTTATTGAAATGCCTTCATTGCAGCATGCAGGATACAAAAATCATTATTAGAAAACCTTTATAAGTATACATAGGAATAAAATCAAGATACATCAGGGAAAAAATAATAACTGTATAAACAAAAGCAATTTATTTGATAGTGTTTTAAATTATAGGTTACAGGCTGTGATCTGCACAGATGATAACAGTTACCTTGCAACAACAGTCTCTTCTTTTATAATTCAAGTCAAAACTGATGTTTGTCATGCTAGAACAACCACATCACCTGTGTATACCACGAACCTGTTCATTACAGTTATAGGGTTTAAAAAGTGTAACAAAAATATTCTGCCAGCATACTTCTATTCTGTTTTCAGTTTATTTGTCCAGCCAAAAGCCATTAACTTTTCATCAAGGAAAGAAAAAAGGCTAATGTGCTTTCTTCTAGTACACAAACCACAGAGCATGTAAGTTTCAATTACTGAAATAGAACCTCTTTAAAGTCATGACACTTTCTTGAAGTTCATTTCAATTAATTGATTTATAGTTTTGCAATATTACTCAAGGACTTGGAGGTGATTTTAAACTGGGAGACTGCTGCACCCTCAGTATTTTTGCTGTTTTAGGAATCTCAATCCCTACTACTTCAAACTTTCAGGGTTTTTTATTCGTACACTGCTTAGTATAAACTCTTAGAACTCACCTCTCTCATTTTATTCTATTTAACAGCATTATTCTGTGCAGATATACATTAAACAACAAAACAAGTCTCTGGGACTGAAAGCTTGGCTCCACAGAATTCAGATAGGTAGAGATTTTGGTGCTGGCTTCAAGGCAGGCAATGTTTAAGAGATCTCAACAGAGCATTCACTTGGCACAGAGTAAGTGGGACCTTACTACATAAAAGAAAATTGCTGTAGGGTCCAGAATCAGCTTATTCTGTTTAACAGGGAAGATTAAAAAAAAAATACCTCTTTATGAGGAAGCTAATACATGTGTTTCCATCTTGTGTTCCACCTGTTTCTCATCCTTGTGGACAAAAATGCATCTTTATAAAGCTATCTTTTTTATTGTTGTTGTTGAGCTCCATAGATGCAAACTTTAAACATACAGTTGTTTCCAAGAAGTGTTTGAACATACAGAATATAACAATTTAATTACATTAAAAGTCATTAAGAGTTTGGGCACTGTCCCCTTACAGAAAGTTAGGTACAAGTAACAATATGAAAAAGTAAGGGAATCATGTAACTCTTTGGCTCTGTTGTAACACTTATCTACTAATGCTAGAATTGTGTGTACCTTAGGGCTGCTTCTTTGTTTGTATTTTTATAAAATATTTGACTAAAAGTTTTAAAAAGTCACCTAATCATCTATAAATGTCAAATGCTGCATATTAAAATATATGCTTATTACACCTTTTTGTTTCATTTTTGCATACCAATGAGAACACACACATTTGTAAACTGTTCAGTAAAAATTTATGAACACATTCTCATAAAGAGAATTTGTATAAGAGAATTTGTAGAAACTTATCATTCAATCAAGATGCTGTAATTAAAATTGCCTGATTATCCATTTTGGAGCACTGTGATTCTCTCAACAGCTTTAGCTCGTTCATTCCTATAAAGATCAACTACAACAGTTAACAACCCCCCCTTTTCAATGCATTTGTAACCCCCTCTCAACCTGAGGTTTCGGGTGCACATCATAAGGAGGACATTTCTGGGACATTGACTGGCTTTTCACCTGTCACTAGCTATGGCTAACTTCACTAGGTACGTTATTGCAGGATGCCCTATTGCTCCCCATTTATTATAACATGAAGTGGGTGTAGCCTTCTGCGCCTGTAACAATGACATCCATCCATATCCTCATGGCTTCTGGAGAAGGAGCAACCATGTAGTAGATGCGGTCATGGGTCTTAACACTGAAGGTCAGCAACGGGTTGGGACTCTAGAATAAACACAAAGAAGGTATCAAAAGAGTGAAATCGAAGCTGGTACCAGAAGTGGAATTGCTTACAGGGAGTTTTATGAATAGGGTTAAGAAGAAAGATAAAATGCTGTACCACTGCATCTTATCAGCAGAGATGCATTTAAAGGGTTTGTAGCTACTATAAACACCTTTTACAGCATTTTCCCAGTAGACTATTATACAGCACTACAGGACTCCAAGCTGTTGTTTCATGCCCAAATAACTAACTCCCTCACTCCGTCCAGTGGCTTTCACAATTTGTTCACAGCTCACCTGAATTACAGATGAGAGACAGGGGGTTCCATGAGCTGCTGGCACAGTTAACTGCCCCCCAGGACAGAGGCATGCAGCCAACCCTTGACTTGTCCAAGCCACTGATTTCAATGGTCTTGTCCCTGGACTAAAGAACTCCTGGTAGCAAATCCCACATTGCAGATACACACTTATCTCTGTTTCCATCAGTATATAAAAAAAAAAAACCCAAAACAGATGCTAATCACTGATTAGCCTCCTTTTCCTCCACTCCAGCATTTTCTTTTTAGTATTTTTTTCCCCCAATAAAGTTAGCTCTCCCTTTAATTTTACAGCAGCTACCAATACTTTGAGTACTCTATGTGATATATGGTTAAAACAGCAGTAACGAAGTTTACCTTATATGCATTCTTTAGATGATCATAATAGACTTCTTCAATAGCTTGAAAATATATTACACCTTTTAATTTAGTTTCATGTTTGTCTAAAATGGAAAAGAGAGAATGACTTCAGAACCGAAATGAATAGTAAAAAGCAACAGCTTAATTTGCATTTCCATATATGTTCAGCTGATAAGCAACTGACTTAACAGTTCTGCTTCTGAAATCCCATGGAAACCTTCGACCTTTCTTACTAGTTTGTTGGATTTGTTGAGAGATGCATTTTTGACTTTAATATGTCTTCTTTTTCACCTAGCTTCCAAGGTTAAAAGCTTTTGTAATTTCCTCATCTATTTGCAAATCACTCCCTTCACTGAAGTGTCTAAATGTTATGGAGGGTATTAGCCCACAGAAGGACAGATGTCTCTCAGATATATCCACTCTTCCAATTCCATGAAAATCAGCCTGACTTGACACAGTTTGCAGGCTAAGACCTTCAGTTTGCCTTCAGGGGAAACTGTAATGATAATCAAATTTTCAATACAATATGACAGCAAAATCTTTACATTAGAACATAGTTTGTGCATGTACTTTTTCAAAAATAAAGGCTTCTTCACATGTGAACTTAAGAGTCACCACTATAATTTTTCACAAGAAAAAGGAGGAGGACAGGGCAGCATACACCCTCCACTTTCCTGCAGTGAAGAAGGTCCCCAGCTGCATGTGGACACTGAAAAGCAAACTTCCTTTCACTCCCAGCACTTCTGTATTAGGGGAATATAATGCTTTCTACCCCCAAGTCATAGTATCATCTCAACACTGAACAATGATGCAGAACATCTTTATCAGTCCCATGAGGGATTCTGCTGTCATTTAAACACTTGGGGAAC